CGTTTAAAAGATTTATATATATATATATTATCTATTTATGCGAATCCTATCTATGTATATAAAACTACAGGTGGCTAAATTCCTCCACATTCTGTTTCGCAGGCTTTAACAATGCTAGAAAATACATATATATAATAAAAAAATTAAATTATACATTATACCACCTCCAGTCCTTAATATAAAACCTCATTTAAATTTTATTTTAATCCTAATTAATCTGCTTTGTTTCTCATATTTATGAATTTTTTTTCTAAAGTAGTTCTTCTAATAATAGTAATTCTAGCCAATACACTTAATTAGTAAGAATATTTTAGAAAAATAACATATATTTATTATAAATAAGTAGCTTAACTTATTTTCTTGATATATTCAAATTAGTTAATTAGCTTTTATATTTAGGACAAAAATAATATATAATAATAAGATCAAAAAAAAAAAAGAAAAAGAAAAAAAGGAAGAGCATAAGATGCTTCATACGCGGAGGCTGCCAAAGCACTTAATTAGTCACTGACAAAAGAGCCAGCCGGGAATGATCCGGATGAAACGACAACGTACGTGGGTGCTCTTTTACTATTTGGTCTAAATTTTTGTGCTCTTCGCATGCATAAGTTTCAACCATATGCTTTTTCTTCGTATGTCCAAATTATATTATTAATTAATTAATTGTTCCGAAATTAATTGGACAAAGAGTACCCCATATACAGATTCTTCACTACACATAGTTTTTTAATTAGGAGGCGCACGTATGCCATTGCCATGAATGTGTGAAGTCGACAACCACTGACTTATATGCGCGCACATGTAAAAAGTAGTGATAGTGCCTCCACAATAATAACAACAGTGCACTGTTGTTCAGCTTAATTTATATGCATTTAACTTAATTTAATGTAATTTAATTAATATGACTGTATCCTATAAGTGCGACAGTGTGATCAAAATTTGGGTTCATTTTCTCCTAACCTCGCCGTATGTAGTGTCTCCAACCCTATGCTAAGTCTATATGCTTAATTGTTACCGATATTAATATTTGATGAAGGATGCGAACTGAGACGCGTGTGCGGCGGATGGAAACAAGGGAAGAAAAAGAGCTCAGTAAGAAGATTTAGAGGCTACCAGTAATAAGAAGATTATTTAAGGAATATTCTGTACATTTTATTTTTATTTTTTTAAGACTTCATCATTTATTATTATTTTTCTGAATATTTTCATTTAATTTTATAATTTTAAAATGATTATTTATTTATTTTTTAAGAGTTGGGTTAAAGGTTATAAATAGCGTTTTGATAATACATCTAATGGAATGCAGCAAAAGCAAGCAACTGTTTTTTTTTTTTTTAATGAAGGGGTATGGATTAATAATGTGGTTAATAATCTTTTTGGTGAGGGGAAATTTCAACCTTTGCTTGCTTGGTACGAAATATTATTATTTATATAAGTGAAAATGGGGGGGTATATTATTATGGCATTTTAAACAATGATCATACGCTCCCAGGACCCCACACACCACATTTCGCTATATATATATATATATATATATATATATATTTACACTTTCTATCATGATAGCCAAAGTTAGTGATTTCTCTTTCTTCATTGCTTTCTTTATCCATTTCATCGGATTCGATCTTGCCTTTGATCCTTTCACAAGTCATCTACCCCTCACTTTGTTTTGTTTATACATATCTGTCTCCCTTTTCTCATGTGTGCTCCTCATTTTCTTTTTCAATCTTAATTCATGTTTGTGAATTGAGAGGTTTGAGAGCAAGCTCATGTGGTCACAGATATACAGATTCTTCAAAGATTACGTAGTCACAGGCTAGTCTTCCCCCCCCCCCCTTTTGGTATTTACAGATTCTCTCTCGATGTTGAATTACAAGTATTTTTTTGTTATGACAAATTCAAATAATTTATATTGTGATGAATAATATTTACTTAAAATAAGTAATTTCTCCGTGCATGTTTGGCCTCTTAATTATATTTAATCTTTTTTTGTCTTTAATGTAAGTGCTAGTTAAGAGTTGTAGTTAGCCTTAAAAAAAAAATTCAAATCCGTTTTATCTTTTGTATATGGCATTTATAAGGATTTTAAATTTATTTAATTTTCTTAAACTAATCAAGTTAGCTAAGTAAATCGTGTATTAAGGATAGGAGGGAACAATTAACGTTGGCTGGGTATGGCAGTTTTGTGTTTGTGATGGCGATGTTACATTCCAAGTTAGGATGTAGAAGCAATATTATTAGTCGCAATTATAGGCGAAATCAACAGCTAAGAGAGCACCAAAATAGCCACTCCACTGTTATTTTTTTGGGGGGACAAAACTACAAGACAAATATCCTCGAAAGCAACGTGTTAAGGAAGGCCACATTTATTATGGTTACTGTAATTTACAACAACAAATATCCAGCACCCATCATGGTCCTTGTTTGTCATTCTTTTGCTGTTTTTTAGAACATTTTAGCTTTCAAAGTGCTTCACACCCCACTTTTTCTAAATTAGTTTTCAATGTAATCTCTCTTTTTATTATGACAAATATCCTCATCATCATCATCATTTTCTCTTTTAACTTTCTTACGTTGACACTGCCTGCTACCTTGTTCTTCTTTTTCCCCCCTCCGATATTCTTACATTACAGCCATGAAAACGACAAACAACAATGAGGCCAAACCCCTGATTATGAGCTCGGAAGTTTGAGAAAATAAAAAAGAACATACTAATTATTGCCATTTCCCTTTGCTTATCAACATTTTAGCTGTGCATGAGCCAATGACAAATCAGTTTGGTGTTAAAAGCATAACAGGACATAAAAGCAATGGAATCCATCCATTAGTGTGTGACACCTCGTGGAGTTTACTGTTATCTCCTGTCCTAATTATTAAACCTCGTTTATAGCCCACAAATAAGGTCTTATAATTAAAACTGGAGGTAATATTTTAGAGAGTTTTCCCTTCTAGTATTTTTTTCCCTCCTTAATTTTCTTCCGATCAAAACAAAGGGTTAGTGACCCTTCCCTTCATCTGCTTGTCTGGGTAATACTTCCCCTAAGTAAGACTGGTCTTTTAATAATAACATTAATATTACAAGTATATACTTAAAGAAAGATCTAATTCTCAAAGACCAGCTCATTAAAAGTCTAAAAATCATAAGAGCTGGTCCTGGTGGGTGACTTTTTTTGTTTTTTGTTGGGTGCATTTACTTAGTCGTTATTTTACAGGGTACTAATAAAGCTAGAAAAAGCGTGGTTCATTATTGTTAGTTTCTCGGTGTTCTAGCGATAAGTACAGTGAGGCCCACTTCTCTGTAGTAGTGGGCCGGCCCTGCAAGAAATGTTGGACGCAGAGTCGTTTCCATCTTCATTCACATGCACGACTTTAAACTTCCATATTGGTTCAGTTTCACATTTTGGTTATGGTGTGACTTTTCTTTCTCAGTGCTGGCAGAAACAGTTAATTTGATTCCAATTTTATCCCCACCGCTGTGGACCATTTGATGGCTGGATTAGAGACAATTTGGTGATGGCCTTTGAAAATGGTGATGCCACCATTTGAAAAAAGAAATGGTTGGAGCAAAAAAGCTGCAAATGTACGACTAATCCCAGTTCTCCATACCGTCATTGGGGTTTTCTGCAGCGTTTGGTCCCTAACCACCCACAGCTTCATTTAACACTTGAAGCCCCACACTCACCTCTTTCCTTTGCATTATATAATTGCTTGTTTGTAATTTTAGGTTATACGATGAACATACAGGATAAGTTGTCTAGTAAAATAAAAAAAACACTTATTTTAATTATTCCTAGACCTATTCATTGATCTTCTTCCCTATATTTCCATCTTTGTTTTGTATCAAACAGGAAGCGCATTCAAGGTAAAAACTGAAAAAAGAAAGAAAGAAAGAAGGGCAATGCTCAATACCCAATTTTTTGTTCAGTTTTAACATCAATTTCATTCTCTGTTTTTTTTCCCCCGGGAGATCAATTTATTTTGTCACATGAATTAAACAGCTCCGACTTTAGCCGCTAGCCGTACCCGCTTGATACTAGTCTCCGTGGATAAAGGACCACTATCCTTTTGCTTGCTGGTCCTAACATATTCTTTTCGCACATATGTGTTTTTATAGAAACAATTCTGTTTGAGGTGTTATCAGGCACCAAATCTCAGCACATTTTTTAATGAGGATTTATATATTAATTTATCACGTTGTAGAGTTTTTTTTTTTTCCTAGACTCAATTTGGTGTTAATATTAATATTTGAACTTGGAACCTCAGAGTAATACTTTAGACAGCCTACCGTGAAGCCCAAATATGCTGGCTATCCTTTCTGGGCTTTTTTATGTTAGGTACAAACGCGGGCCTAAATTTAGCCTTCCTCAAATCTGGGCTTCGGTTAACAAATAAAGTGAGTTGTCAGACTTTAGCCTAGTTAAATTAATTAGCGCTGGTGAAAAAACAAAAAAGGCTAGTTGAATTTGCCGCTTTGGAATTTGATTTAACGATTTCTGAACTGTGACGGACGCCAAAAAAACAAAACAAAACAAAAGGAATAGTATCTCAAATTCTCAATCTCATCACAACACAACTTTAACCGAACCGCCGAACATGTATGGACCTATTTGCATCTGGACCACACGAACTTGCGTGTGACTCTTGACTCCATCAGTCCATCGACAAACCCAGTTATTTCTGTTTCAAGAAATATTTTAACATCTTTCAGGGTGGCAGAACCACTTGGCCTATAACTTTCTAGTTGCAACTATTATCCAGCAACGAATTGCAAATTGGCAATGACTCCATTGACGTAGTAATAAAGTTTAATTTCATTTTACTTTGTGTGCTGGAAGATTGTCATTTGTCACATATCAACTATCTGGAAGTCTGGAATCAGGGGAAACAGAGACCACTCTGTAACAAAGCTATGGGAGGCCTTCCCCTGTTTTGCTTTCAAGAAAGGCGCCGCCTTTTAACTATTGGAACGGCTGAAAAGATAGTAAAAAGAACACAGCCACTGAAATGAAGCCATTGCCCATGGTTTAAAGACTTGAAAATTCAAATTTATCTACAGTTTAACTGATTCTCATCATCAATAAAATTTCCTCCAAAAAAAATGATATTTACAAAAATAGCGTCATTGATGTTCGCCCCAGAGAATTAGCTGTTGTAAAGATAACTCGTGCCTCTTTAATCTTTATCTCCTCGCCGTTCTGGGGCTCATTACAGTGATTAGCTATTGTGAATCGAGCACTCGAGTTCCTTGGCGAGCGGGAGGCTCCACAAGAATTCCGATCAAAGACAATGGGTCTGAGGATCTCCAAACATTGTCAGTTGTTCCGTTCCGAAAAAATTTCGAACGAGCTTGCAATCGGAAACTCCGATGGCCCTCATAAAACCCACAGTTCCACCCGCCGGCACCGGCTTTGCTTTGCCCTGACAAGCTTGCTCAGCTCCTGCTACTCACTGGATCTAATTCCAGATCACGAAATTCGCCTCGCGAAAGAAGTCCATGGATCTCAGAATCGAACCCTTCCCTTTTCGAATCATTGAGCAGAAGTGAACCCATGAAGCAGCGGTCGACATTCTTGCCAGACTTCGAGGTTGTTCCTCAAACCCTCATGGCAATACCTGTGAAACTCGTCGAGGTTACGGAACCGGGCCGATTTGCCAGAGTCAGCCCTGGAAACAAACCGGAGAACTTCTTGGAAGGTTTCTTCGTCGCATGGAATGGAGAGCGGTCCGGTGTTGGAGAATCCGTACTCCTCCTCCACTTGACTCAGTAGCTTATTGAAGAAAGGGTGGTTCAGGTAGCTGGCCTTCATCACATGCCTCCTAACACAGTCTCTGCCGACCCGGACCGCCACGTGGCCAGGCGGGACATCCAACGGAACGCCGTTCGCCGAGGACATGCGTGCCTTATTGCGCCACCGTCGTAGCATCTGGCGCAGCCTGACAATGCACCGGATTTTGCTGCATTTCCCGGCTTCCATTGAAGATCACGACCGGTAAACGACGCACACTGGTTCTGTTTGCGGTCCTGTTTGCGTGGCACTCGCCGTTGCATTCTACTTCCCTGTTGGAGTTTAGGATTTTATAATGCTCTAGTTTGGGAAGCTGCCCTTGATTTCGCAGATAATTACGAACTAATGCCCCTGAGCGCCATGTGCCAGTGATTTCTTGACGTACTATTCCCTTTTTGGCCAGAGTTGACGTACTATTCAAGTTCACAAACGATGATAGAACAACAAGGAGAAAGAACATTGGCGGGATCGCGTAATCCAATTCTGGTTATGTTAAAAATTTTCCTAATTAATGATTTCATCATCCCATCTAATTTTTTTAGACATAGGTATCTTTTTATTAAAAATAATCATATTTAAGAAATTATTAATTCTCATAAAAAATTTAAAATTTAGTTCATCATTTTATAAAAAACTAGTTTCGTCAAACTCAACCCCTATGGGTTATCCCAATTCAGAAAATGTTTGAATAGAAACTCAACTATAATTTTAAAAATAATTTTATAATACATGAAATAAATATATAAAATAATTTGTTTCAATTTAAAAAAACAAAAGTACTTGTTAAAAATACTTTTCAGGCATTGCAAACACCCCGTTTAAAAAGACTTGGCTGTATATATTCTGACCCAGTACGTCATCCACTTCATTGCTTCAAGAGCTCCCTTTTATCATATTTTGTATCAGGAATATGTATTCTCTTAATAGAAGTAGTTTGATTTGAAACACTGTTATGTATTAAATTTCAACATAATTCACAACTTTTATAATTAGAAACACTTAAAAAAGAGGTGTTTGATGTCACTCAGCGCCCCATCAGTCTTGATTTTTCATGCGCACGGGATTAAGAAAATAATAAACATGTTCAATCAGAGCGACACGGCATGAGTGCTGCCTGATTTTTCGGTTGCTCGTGTTAGAGCGAAATTTTTTGACACGGCATTGGATCTGGATGAGTCTACAAATAATCCTTGTTCCAGATATCCGCATGTAAGCAAAACAGGCATAATTATAGTTATTATATTTTTTTTTCGCGTCTAAATATAAGTTCAGTTTATTTTAACTGGCAAACCAAGAAAAAACTTAAATGTATATAATAATTAACTTTTTTCAAATATTTCCTCAATTAAATGCCCTTTTAAAAAGTGCATCCCATACTGATATACTCCTCCGGTCCTTAATATAGGACCTAATTATTGAATTGGTTTTTGTCCTAAATATAAGACCTATTTATCATATTTATCAATTTTCTCTAAATTACCCCTATGGATACTCCATCAACTATAATTAAGAAAGATGATTATAGTATTTTAGGAAAAATGTGCCACATTTCTTATAATTAACTAACTTACCTAACTTCCTTAATCCAATCAAATTAGTTAAATGGATCTTATATTAAGGACCGGAGGAGTAATAATTATGATTTGAAAAAATTGTTGGAAAAAAATTCCCATTACAAAATTAAATACGCAGGTGCAATCTACCTTCAGCGGATGCAACCTTTTTCATTTAACTATAGACAAAATGTAATAATTTTTTTGTCAATGAAGTGTAATATATTTTTTCCAATAAACTGTAATACATTTACGCATAATAACTAAAGTTGTATATAGAACTTTCTACCAAAAAAAAAAAAAGTTGTATATAGAACTGGTAAATAGTTGCACACGCTATAAACAAATTGCATCCGCGTAAAGACCTAAGTCCTCAGGCATTTTTTTGGGGCGAAAAAATCTGTAAAGGAGAATTTTTAAAATTTTCTATAAAAAAATCATCATTTATATTTATAATTTGACTAAAAGATACATTTGACCCTGTAATTGTGTACAAAATTTCAATTTAGTCTCTTAACTTTAAAAAATATATTTTTAGTCATTTAATCCTAAAAATTTGTTAAAAAATAATGAAATTAAGATATTAAATGTTAATAAAATATTTTTAAATACTAACATATTAAGTTTAATTTTCAAAATATTCATGATTATTACCCAAAAAAAAAATCATTGAAGCTTAATGATTTTAGGATTAAAGGACCAAATGTAAGCTTTTTAAAGTTAAAAGATCAAATTGAACCTTATATAAAGTTAAAGAACTAATCTATATTTTGGCCTTATAATTTGAAATTCAGATTTATATTTAAATTTAAGATCAATTAAAAAGTAAAATACTGTAAAACTTTTCAAAGATTGTGCAGGTAATTTTTATATAATATTTCCGTGACTTCTTTGTCATTTTCGAGCAATCTCCCTGTAATCTCCGTACAATATGTAATGATCCCCCGGGGAAGTGCGCTTGGATCACGCGGGATTGACCCCATAATCTCCCAGCACTATTACACGTCTCTTAGAGACATCTGTCAAATGTTACAGTAGTGTAACGTAACGGGAGAATGGTTAAAAAAAAATTACTATTGATAACAACACTTTATTTAGATTTGATAACACTGAATTTGTAAATGACAAAAAAATTTTTAACATTTTTTTATTTAGTATTTACAAATTTCTAGTTTTTTTATCATTTTTCCTAACATAACTACGTCACGAGTCTAAAGAAATAAACAAGCTCTTTAATTTCTATAAAGATAAACTAAACTTGAAAAGCATTATATTACTATATACTCTTTCAGCTCTAAATATAAAACTCACCTGATGGCATAATTTATACTCTAAACTCGGAGGAGTATAATTTTGCTATAAAATATAATGGCCCGATGCAGCTAGGTGTAGGAGCCAAAAAAAAGAAAAGAAAAAAGACGCTGACCAGTACAACGTTGCCGATTAATTGAAGAGATAAGTTTTAATTAATCAGGCAAGTAGCGTAAGGTGATTGTTTGTTGTTTTATGAAGTAAACTCATATGAAACCGCAATTAATTAATTAATTAATTAAAACGGTAGAGCAACGAATGGACAATGTCTTAAGCTTAAACAGTTCAGTTACCATATATGATTGGCTTGACCAGTACCACTCCGCTGAAACCGTAAAATTTCTTAGTTCTGAGCACAAAAACGAGGAACTAGCTAGAAACAGACATGCCATGTATATATGAAGCTCTCAAGGCTAGGCTGGCCACCTATGTTTTTTTAATATATGAATGCTTTGCGAAAAGGAATCTTCAAATATATAAAGGCAAGACTAAGAAACAACCAAAACAAAATGTTAATATATTGATGTGTTTCAGAAACCAAACCATTTCTCAATCTTCAAAATCCAAATCCCACCATAAACCCCATGTGCGGCTGTGTCCCATCTTTCCCTTTTCTCCCTTTTATATTAGTATTCTCAAAAAGCAAACTGCCAAAAGCGCCCTCTTAATCCCCTTCCTGCTTTTTCTATATGGGAGCATCTTTGTCCAATCTTCATCTTCATCTTGATTACTTCCTTCATTTTTCTTCATTTAACATTTAACGAGAAGCCCATCAAATGGCATAGCGACACACGGCACTCAGAGAGCACCTAGTCTGATAACTCATTTAGTCTTCAAAGTGTTGTGTATGTGTGTGTATACAACATTACAATAATAGAGTCAAATGTGTATCCAGGCCAATTCTGATTTGGGGTCCACTTTCTGCATGTTCTTCTAAGTACATGCATCCTCCTCTAAATGCCACAGGTTCATTATTTGAGCCCACAGCCCCACCCTCTCTGAATTTTCTTCTGCTAACCAAACAACCGTCTGATGAATTCTCGGAAACAGTTTCCCAGAATATATATATAATATAATTAACACAATAATAAAGTAATATTTTCTTCCCTCTGCTAAACTTATCTGTAATATAATCTCTGTGAAATGGTCCCCACATTAATTTGAGCGTATGGAAAAAGAAGAAGAGAGGGGGGGAAAAGGTGGTGAAGTGAGGACGAGAAAACGGCTATGGTTGATTGGTGGGTACTTTTACAGAGTGTTTGGTCGTCCAGGTTCGGCTGCGCTTCGTTGTAACATTGGACCCCAAGCTCTAACACCTTTTCAGTACGGCCAATCTGTAATTTCAAAAGCTGTTCTCTCTTATTTATATCCTCCCATATATTATTTCCATGCACTATGATTACAAGACAAAGCAGGATCATTAAAGAAACCAAATTATCAAAGGAAAAGCGACACTAATTAGTTTAATGAATAACGTTTGAAAGAGTGAAAGGATGACGCGTGTTCTAAAAACTGAGCATAGAGTTATTAATAGGCTAGCATAAACTGATCTTGCAGTTGGTTTTTGTCGCGATGTCGCGGCCTTTTAGAATAACTGAAATGAAGGTTGAAGCCCAACCCCACCTGAGCATATAGCCCTCTTAGATGTGGGCGTGTGCGCCCTAAGTACGTAGCTGCCAAATGCTAGGTATATAGGGCAAAGACACTTACAAGTTATGACTTCATCTTACAGCCACGCCAATTTAATTTCATTTATTCATTCTGCAACTTTGCGTGCTCAGTTTTTTGTTATGGGAATCAGATCAGACTTTCGGTGGTGCGTGCAGAAAAAGACTTTGCTAGCCGAGCTAGACCCTTCATATTTCCTTCTTATTCCCTTTTTTCTCCTATCGTGGGCAGCAAAAAGACGTTTATCAATTGCTATACGAAGAAAACACTTAGATCGTGGACGACACATAAAACCCTAATTTAATGGCTAAACCTACTTAAAATATATAGATATAAGAAAAAACGTAGTAGGGTAACGCAAATCAAACAAAAGAAAGACTTCCAATGTTTTCATAGCTGTCAATTGTCACAGTCCATACTTAACTTTGATAATAACTTGTAACAATACGCAGAGCCACGTTCCATGTATTTCCATATTATTTTTTTGGCCCATATTTCCACATCATTTTCATATTCATATATACTGAGAAAGATACATTCCATATCTACGAGCGCCCAAAGTTTTGCAGAGGAGGTCACTCGAGCCTACTCAAATGAGGTCTCATGTACTAAAATAAGATCTCGTAGGGTCATATACACCACAGATAGACCCTCGTC